TTCTAAAGTTCCTGGCATTACATCAGGAATCTCCTCACTCCGTGAGAAGAACCACACAGCTCTATTCTTAGTTATATATTCTTGCAGACAAAGCAAACTGAGCATATAAACAGAAACGGCCTTGTGGATACACGAGCGAAATGAGAGTTGAAAAAATCATTAGTAACAAAAAAGCACCTAAAAGCGTTTTCATTTCTGAGGTCAGGTAAGAATAGTTTCAACGAGCCGCTGTTCTAGCAGCGTGTTCCTAGTGCTCCTCGTGTCTCATTATGCTGCTTTTCAGTGCCGTTGTCATAGTAGTCTACAAAGAACCTTATGTAAGAAATAAGATGATGGTTCTGCACAATGTTAAAAAAGAGCATTTATCAGATAAGTGCTAATGTTCTAGATTAGGGATTCTTGCTCCCTCACTCTGCACTGGACCATGTAACCGCATGAATCATTTTGATTGCAAAGTACACATTCCCTCATCAGCTCGGAGAGATTAAAGTGGAATAGTACAGAGTCTACTCATGAAACCATGGCATCAAGTAGACCAAAAAAAAAAAAAAAAAAGCTGCAATCATACAAACAAAACTAACAATTTCTAGTTTCTCATGAAATATTACTCCTTTGAGTTATACCCAGATTTTCTTTAGACTTTTACATGTTTTTGTGACTGCATTTGCACATTCCAGGGCAGCACAACTCCGAATGATTCAGCGGGAACTCTGGATTTATATGACGGGCAGGGACTCAATGTCTTTCCGTAATTTTCAGATACGTCTTTAAAAAAAATGTCGAATTTTTGCCAAGAAGATGCAGTGTTGGTTTGGGGAGTTTGCTGGGCTTCGGGGAAACATTCTTTCAGCCTCTGTTCTTCCTATTGATTGCTTTTGGTAGGAAACTTCTCTCCTCTGAACGCACGCCAGTGCGGGCTTGGTGCTGGGAACTGCAGGCAGGGACCCGACTGATGGAGCCATGCGGCCTCGTTGCGCATGGAGAGCCCTTGATGGCTGTGATGGATGCATGGGGCTGTTGGGGAAGGTGCTGGGAATACTTCTATAGCCAGAAAGCTGCCATGAAGGCAAGAGCTGTGGGCAGGCTGTCCAGGAGGGCATCGCTGTGGATGCCGAGGACAGGCTGTGTATCACAGGGCTGCAGCAACATGCAGGCCCCTGCCTGCTGCCCTGCACAAGCGTGCTCTGTGCCCTCACCGTGTGAGCTGGCCGCAGCGCTAGGAATGCTGCTAGCACCTGGCTGCCCCCCATCTCCGAGGGGACCAAGAAGAGGTCACTTGTTCACGTTTTATTTACTGTACTTAACTCAGGCGGCATGGCTTCCTCCGATTGCCTGCAGGGAGCAAGCAGAAACGTTTTTTCTCCTTAGCACACAGCTTAGTTTCTGTTTGGGTTCCGCTGCTTTGATTTCGCAGGGCGCTGCTGGAGCGTGGTCTCTGCCAGGGCACGGCGTGGGTCGTGCTGCCGGCCCTGTTCGCACCAACCTTGTGTGGGCCCGGCCCCCCCTGGCCAGCTCTGCTCGCAGGCACCTCGGGCAGGACACAACAACCTGACATTTCACCAGTCGTCCAGCACCCCTGTGGTGTTCTTCTGTCTTTCTGAAGCTCCTTATGGCTGTAGCTTTTCTCCTGTTATTTGGGATGGTTGCAGCAGGCCTCAGGCAGTGGTGTCACCCTCAGCAAGGGCAGAGGCAGCAGCGCTGCTGGGCCCACAGCTCTGTTTCTCCCTTCACCTCCACCACAAGGGTTTTTTGTGTTTGTTTTCCACGCACTGTTTCTCTCATTTTCTCATTTATGTCCTTTTTCTCTCTCCCCTGCACCTTGTGCTGCTTCGTCTTTCACCACCACCACCACTAAAAGTCTGGGATTCCCAGCTCGGCACAGCTGAGGGGCCTCCAGGGCCTCCAGCACCACGAATCCTTTTCTCTCCTTTTAATCCATAAGCCAGATTGCTATGAGAAGTGAGAATTCCAGTGAAATGGCATGTTAGCAAAAAGCAGGCATTAAATATCCTGTGGGGATTGCTGCAAACTGCTTCACCTCACCAGAGCCGTCTCCAATGTGGAAACTCCACTCCCTGTTCTCCTAACATGAACTTCAGAAATGTTCACCTTCCTCTCATAACACACCTCTCTGAGAACCCCAGAGCCCTCAAATTGGGGTAAATTGCATTCTCCTGAATTACTTCAGCTGTGGCTGGGGTGACAACTGGCACCTGTGCTACTTCCCAGGCCCACAGCAAAGAACAGCTTTGGATGAAAAAAAGAAAACATCGTCCCTTGGCTTGGTGGTGGTTGGTTCTTGGTTGTTTCCTTTCTGTTGTAGCTATTAGGAAGCAGAAAATAAAGCATTAATACGGAGCTTAGATGTTCTGGGAGTATTGGTGCTATCCTGAGGGAAGGCTACAGTGTCTTCCTCACCACCAAGAGGTCAGCATCCCACTCTCTTCTCTCAGCCAAATTGCAGGGCAAGCAGCAGTGCTGGAGCAGGCACTGCAGAGATAAGGTGGGCTCTGCTGGGCTGTCCCCCTTCAGACGTGCTCCTGCTGGCGATGCTAGGGCCCAGAGGCTCTGGGGGACACCAGGGCTGGGTGGGAGAAGGTGGCAGCGGGGAAACCCCATGTGTGAGCACAGCTCCGCGCACCTGCCCGGCTTTCGAGGGAAGAGCGTGACCTCCTGCATCACCTTCTCCGGGCAAGATGCTACAAAGGACAAATTACCCAGCTCGCCCTCCCGCTCCCGGCTCTGATCTTCTGCCAGCTCACATTTCCACAGCCACTAGTGCAAAGGGCAGTTCATTGTTGCAGGAATTCGTATGGGTTGCTTTTATGGTGAAGATCAAACAAAAAGAAAACCCCAGCAATGCGGGCTGGCGTTGGCTCCCTGCCGCAGTGACGAGTGCCGTGCTGGGAAGACGCGCTTCGTGCCCCGAACAGCTCGCTGTGTGGGGAGCTGGGGCTGGGCCACAGATGGGCAGGAACACAGGGAGCAGGGGACGAGGGTCATTCAGCCACAGACAGACCCATTTCGCTGCCCAGGTTCACTCAGTGCATTTTCCCCTTTTACTGGCTATGCCCAAAGAGCAAAGTAAGCCCTGGAGCCTGTGGCCATGAGGTTTTCCATGCCGCCCTGCTCACCAAAAGCCAACATCTCCTATCACTGAAGGACACTCACTCCTATGACCCGTGTCCCACAGAAAGAGCTCTGCCCAAGGGCAAAGTGGTTGTGGGCAATGGCTGAATGAGACCACAACGTACTTTGTTGTTGCCTTGACAATATACTTGCACTCTGGAGCTCTATTTTAACCCTGTGCTGGGGTAATACCAGCTGATGAAACACTGCTGGAAACCAGGCAAGCCACTATACTTGCAAAAACAAGTTTTCACACATGCGGTAGCATCGTTAGGGTAAGCGGCCTTTTGCCCCAGGAGAGGGGCTGGGTGTGTGCCAGGAAACGTCTGCACTCTCGCTCTAAAGGATGGATTTTCAAACATTGCATAGCAAATCCCTTCCTTGTACACTGCCTTTTTTCTGTTTTTCTTTTAAATATGTTTTGAATATACAAAAATAATCCAAAACATTCAAGATGCTCACGTTCTTTAAATAGAGCTTCATGCAAAATCTGCTGAGTCCAAAGGCGGCCTGCAGCTGACTTCCCCGGGTGCAGCACGAGCAACCAGCAGGTTGCTGCTAGCAGAGGGCTGTAAGTCACATCTTGCCAGGGGTGTTTCCTTTACAGTACTATTAACTCAGATCATGGCCCATCTAATTTGGGAATCCCTTGGTGACCAATACATTTCAGTACCCTGACGGTCGCGTGCAGCGGCAGGGAACCAGCCTGTCGCAGGTTCCTAAACTCACGCCACTGCGCTGCCCCTGGGGACAGCCTCATTTCCTAAAGCTGCTCTTCCCATGGCGGGCCCAAGCTGCAGACAAATCAGAAATAGGTTTTCTTATAAGTGTCACAAGAGGACCATTGCTCAGCCAGGCTTTTTGTGCAGGACTGTTCACGAGTCCTTTCCTGAGAGGCACTGGGACATCTGCTCGTGGCCCCTCACCCTGCAGTTGCCTCCAGACCCACGGGTGCACAGGGCGCAGCGGGCAGGCAGTGCCCCGGCTCTTTCTAAAACCAGCTCTTTCTAAACCCCGTTACTCAACTTCCTGCAGCAACGAAGGGTGACCACACTGCAGATGAAGAAATATTTCCTTCAGTTTACCCTAAATCCCAGGCAGTGCTGTAAGCAGCAATTCCCTTCGTTTTTGCACTGCTGGATGCTGCGATGAGCAGGAGGCCTGGGTCCCCAATGGGCTGCTGTGACGTTCAGATCCCCCTGTGAAACCTTTTCTCTTCTGCCTATTTCAGCCCCCGTTGGCATCTGCCGTCACAGTCCTTGCACGCTTTGTCTCGCCAAGGGGAGCAGTCAGCTCTGGGACGCTTCCAGCTCGTTTTGTTACCCTGTCGGAGATGACATTTTAAGCTGAAAGTGCTTTGCGTTTACCTGGCACCATGTCAAGCAACTTACCTCTCATCGCCCATGCCGATTGCTTGTTCAGTCAGAAACCTGCTACACGGCTTGTGCACATAATTACGGTAATTGCCTGGGAGAAAAGATCTTCCATTGTGCATCTTCCATTGAACAAAATGCATAACTGCTGGCCTGCACTGACCTTTTCCTGCTGCTTCCTTCCCATATGAGAATGGATGTTATTAGCTGAAACTTCCCCACGTCTGCTCCTTGTTCCGCCCTTCCTGAGCGCATCCCGCTACGACATGGCCAACGGTTTGCATGGGTCTGGGAGAAGCACCAGCAGTTCTCATAGATGTGGATTTTGCTTTTCCTTAGCTGCATAAACAGGATATTCTGTTCAAAATACAGCAAAATGGAGCCACATAGCCAATCGTGCACGTAATTTTCTCCAACTAAATGGTGCTGTTTGCTTGCTTAAACACTAACCCAGGGAAACACAAGTGTACATTTCAATAAATCAGGAACTTAAAGAAATCACTTCATACATTATTATCTTTATTGGCATCTCAGACAACTTCCCCTACCAGAAAAGTTGCCCAGAACGAAGACGGGAAGCGAGAGCTTTGCCACAGCCAAGCCCTCACTCGAGCTCGTCCAGCAGCATCCTGGAATTAACTCTGCCTCCCCAGGGGGCTGGGGCTTTCCTTCGGCCTTGGGAGGGCTGCGCTTGTTTATGTTTGTCTCTGATCCAATGTCAGCCGGGAGAGCTCTGGAGGGTTTCCGTGCACAAGGACAAGCTCAGCACCCCTCCTGCTGCCAGCACGGCAGTGCCTGGAGTCCTGCTCTCTCCCCTTGGAGCCCCCAAAGGCCACGCAGCGTCCCAACATCCTTGTGCCTTCAGGAGATTCCAAAATTGTCTCCGCAGGCAGAAGTGTGGCTGCAGCGTGGGGAAGCCTTTGAAGTTGACATTGCCAGGGTTGGAGCTGGTTTGAGCTGCAGAGGGGAAGCGATACAGAAAGAAAAGGCTTTTATTCTGACAGTCAAGCTTAAGCCTGCCCTCGCTGCATGTGAAGTGCGAGCTCGAAACTTAAAGAGGGGAAAATGAAAGGGCTGGATTCAGTGGACAGTCAGGTTGGACTCCAGCTCGGCTGTCAGGGGAACAAAGCCTTTGAAAAAGAACAAATCCCATCCTCAGCCATTCCCCTGGGTGGGACCAGCTTCAGCAGCTTCAAAGGCCGGGCTGTGCCACCGAGGAACCAGATGTGAGCACAGGGCCACCCCAGCACCCAGCCTTGTCCCACATCCTGGCCACGCTGCTCCCCTCGGGGTGCACTCAGCAGCACTGGGTGTGGGTCGGGACCACCTCTCTGCTCCTCCAGGATGACAGGGATTGCTGTCACGGCTTTACCCCTCCAGCATCTGCTTCTGCACCCACTGCTGGTCGGGGTGCAGAGGGTGGCCCTGGCATCACAGCTCGCTCCATGGCCCGCTGCAGCTCCAGAGGTAAAGGGCCATTAAGGAAATGTTCATGTAGGGACAGCACATCAAATAGGCAAAGCTGGGTGTCGAGAAACACACAAACACACACACAAAAAAAAGAAAGCAGCTTGTAATTACTTTGGTTGTATTGCCTTTCCAAAGGGCATAACATTTGAGGTGATTCATTAAGATCAGAGCCCCGGGTGTGTTTGTGAAGGCTGTGCTAGTACAGAAATTAATCATCTGGAGGAGCAGGGCTGGGCTTTGATGGTGGCTCCCATGCGGCCATGCAGACTGGCCCTTGGGGCATACCAAGGCAAAGCTGGTGCCCAGCTCCCGGCCACGCCAGCCTGCAGCAAGCCCCGAGGTGCTCGTGTTATCCCCTCTGCAGCCCTTGGGCTGTTGTAATAGCGACTGAAGCAGATTAATTACAAGGAAAGCACTGAACCACTGCTACTGCAGCTGTAATCTCACTTGTGGGCATTTTCCCCACAGCTGGTGCTTCTCTGTAATGGCCGGGATGGGATTGTTGGGGGAGTGGATATGATTCACTGGCCTGGTCAGCTGTCAAAAAATCTGGAGGCTGCTGATCCCTTTGCAAGCTGGACAGTGGCAGGCGCTGCCTTGGGCACGGGGCGGGTCTGGGTCCGGGCTGTGGGATGCTGCACGTGGGACACAGAAAGTGCCCCGAGGCACACGTGGGCCCTTCCTGACGCATTATCTAGTCGCAGCTGGGGGAAAATGATTCACATATAAAATATTTGATTTCAGCCGGGATATTTTTAAGACCGCTGTATAATAAAATCAAAGATTTATTACTGTTCTATTCCTGCATAGATGCAAAGCCCGTGAGTAATTATAGCTTTGCAGCAGCCTAACCTTTCAGGTATTTGCATTTCACGTTGCATCCTTACCGGGAATAAGAGGTAACTGCACTCAACTGCAAAACGCCTCCGGTAAGACTAGATCATCAGGAAATTGGCAAAAGGCAAGGTGCACGCTGTGTGTGTCGCAGCCCGACGTCCCTGTCACTTCTGCTCAGTTTATTAGCAGGAAGCATACCTTCACTGCACCCCTTCAGCTTGAATCTCCTGCGGGAGGAGCGCAGCCAGGGAGGCTTTTGCTCTTTCTGCTTTGTGACATGATGCTGAGTGCTCAACCGAGCCTCTGCTCCGGCAGCAGGAGCAGCGGGGCTGCGTGCTGCCCTCCTCGCCGGCCGCAGCCGGTGCAAGCACCACGGGGTGACGTTTCTTTTGGCAAACTGCAGATCTCTGACAAGTTTGCTCGGTAAGATCTCGCAGACTTTCCACAAACAAATTCCTGACGTAGCAGGAGTCGGGAGACAACTCCTAAAACCTTCAAAAAGGTGACATTTGCTCTGTTGTTCCATACAGACACAGGGCTTGGTCCAAAGCTTGTAGGAGCCTTTCTGCAAACCTTTTGGTCACAAAGCTCCCACCCTGGTCCCTCCTGGCACAAACCTCTCCCCCCAGTGCTAAATCTCATTAGGAGTTGAAAAGACTGACGGAAACCACACCGCTGTAAGGGGAGGAAGTGCTGGGGTTGTTGCTTTTGTTTCCAGGGCATGAAATAAGGTATTGAATAATGAGTTTTTCCTCATATTGCTTGAGTTGTGTGGGTGGATTGCTACAGCTGATTCCTAGCCGTGTGTCTGACAGACTCACGAATGAGGCCCCTTGGTGCACATCAGCTGAGGGAGACCCACTCTTGTCTTTTTCCTCTGAGAACTGGAAGCCAAAGAGCACGAGCACCCGTCCCTGCTCTAAAACCCACCCTGGCAGACGGTGCTGGCAGGAAACGTGCCCTGAGCCCTCCTCACCTGGGCATGGCCATGAGCAGGACACACCACCACGTTTGCCCAGACGCTGCCCACCGTCTGCCTGGCCGCACCGTGCTGTCTGCTGCGCAGGCTGGTGCTCTCGGGACAGCGATGGTCATCCACAAACACCCCGCAGGAGGAAATAACAACCACAGACTTTCTCAGCTCGGCACCGCAGGGGCTGGCCGCATTACGAGTGAACTCTTCCCATTCATGCTCAGGTTTCGTCACATTGAGAAGAAACAGAAGAAACGCTGGAACTGGAGAGGGGCTGGAAAGAAACAAAGAGCGGAGCAAAGTAACGTTAGTCATTAGAAATAACACTTCAGGAGATCCTTTTCAAAAATAACAAGCAGCTCACTTAACCTCCTACGTCAGAAAGGGCGATTCCGTATCTGTTATTCTGGAGCAAGGACTATGAGCTGTTCATAATACACACAGATATCAAAGAAAGCAGAGGAAAGATACCACGTGAGCAAGGGAGCTAAAGGACTGACAGCGCATTATCTTAAGCAAATTTGATTACTGTAGGCATTTAAAGTGTGCTTTGTCAGGCTTGTGCCAGGACAAGCCCTCCTGCAGCAAGCTGTGATTGTACCTATGACAAAAACCAATTTTGCTCAGGGGCAGTGGACAGAAATGCTGTGCAGGGCTGGCCACAATTTCCAAGAGACCCCCTCAGATTTCAAACTCCCTCTCTTGTTTCAAATTCAGCCACTGCTCTGTTTTGCCTGCCCATCCCTGATTCAATAGCTGCCAAAATAAATTTTAAATTGTCCAAAAGAAAGTCAGCCAAAGAACAACAGGGTGAAGACGGGAGGAGGGGAGGTGACAGCCCTTTGCAAACAGCTGAGCAGCAAGGGGCTGTCGGCCTGGGTGGAGAGCAGACCTTGCAGAGGGGCAGCAGCTCGAACTGTTTGTATTTGGTTGTTGGAATGTCTTTTCCTCCCTTAACTTTACAGCCCTGAGTCCATTACTCCTCCTATGAAATTGGAATTATGGAGAAAAATGGATCAGTGCATTTACTTGGAATCATTATGTGTCAAGTATTAAATTGGGAAGGAAATTTTAAAACCATTCTTCTAATATGAGTCACAGGAGTAAGCTATCAGGAGCCGTGTCAAAGGCACTGTAGCTGGCAAGAAACATATAGCATCTTTATGATTCTTCCTTTTACAAAACCCAGACCATAAACAATAGAAACAGGGGAAGAGAGAGAATGTAATTTCATTAGAGTAAACGTGACATAAATTTAATAATGAATAATAGCCGTTATCTATAAAAATATGAAAAGCCATTTTCAAAATCATTAGCTCTAATCGCAAATGAATTTTGCAGCTTCTTTTCTATTTTGCACCTCTGTAATGAACTCTGATAAATTCAAGGGACTACATGTTAAATAAAGAGATAGAAGGGTCTAATTTGCTGCTTCATTAAACCGGCTTATTTCTAGAACATCTTGCTGTTGCTCTGAATTTCCTATCTCTGAAAGGTGGAGACAATGGAGCTATCTGTCTCTAATGTAGTGTGGCACACAATTAGGGATTCAAAAGGATGTGAATCTCTTTCCATCAGAGATACATGCAGCGATTATTATTTTATTACCAAATACTGTCAGCATTACATATTTCCAACAGCTACTGTGACACCTGACTTGCATGTTAAGTTTGCACGAAGCATTATAAAAGAAGTCAGATGGAGTTTATTTATACCACATTATTCCTTCTTACGTAGGCCTTCGCAGAGTCTGGTACAGCAAAATGTTCACGGAGTTCAACATTGAAGATTTGCAGTCAGCCAGGATATATGGATGGTGGTTTGCCATTTGGACGTGTTTTTAAGGCAGTGATACATCACCAGCTCAACCTTACAAACCACGATTACAAATCAACAAAAAGCATATCTGGACCTCTCTCTATTTATCAAAGCACTTAAATGTGAATCTGAGGCACTGTCCTTCTTAGGGATGGAGTTTAAAAAAAAAAATTAAAGAGTTTTGAACTTCAACTGAAACTTATTTTTAACATTAACCCCAAAGTTTCCTAACCTCTGCTTGTACAAACTGGCTCTGACTAGAAGCCAGCACGCAACCGAAAGTTGGTTGACACGATCCTGGAACCACAAAGAGACTTGAGAAGACCAGCTTTGAACTGACAGAATAAAGATGTTTTCTTAGATGTAGCACGGGCTTGGGTTTTGCCTCCACACCCAGGTACCTACATGGGGGACTTACCTGGCAGTCTGAACAACAGCAAAAGGAAACGATTGAGGCATTTCAGGTGGTATTCTGCCTTCCTAAATCCACTTCATATATGCATATACATGTACATATATCACCTTCACATACCTACTGAGCAGTCAGAATTACCTCCCGTGTACCAAGAGGTTGCCAAAACAGGTCTGCAAAGCCCTTCCTTACCTCCCAGGCACTGCCCAAGGCGCTGTGCAACTTCTGCTCTGATTTCACCCTCCTAATGAATATCTTACCAATGCCAGAAAGCCTCACCTGGGAATACAAAGTAGGAGTTCAAGAGAGATATGAAAGTTTACTGTCACAAAGACGGCAGAGCAAATTGGTGGGACAACAAAACCCAGCCCTGCCCCACTGGAGGTGCATCTAGGCAGTGTGTTGAAGGCCGTCAGAGCATCCCATGCAGACTACTCATGGCATGTTGTTCCCTGTCTCACCTTTAATGCTAGTGGTGGGCGACACGGATCAGCTTAAGGGTTTGTGACACAAAGAAAGCTGGATCCAGCCTTGAAAAATCTACGAATAATAACTGCAATCACTTTCTTGTGAAGAAGAGAGTCTTCAGCCAGTCACATCATCCAAATTGCTGCGCCAGCATAAAGGAGACCGAGAGCTGTAATATAAATTATAACTACAAAGTGCAAAAAGGAGAGAAAGAAACTACCCAGAATATTGGACTGGAGAATTTAAACTCACAAGTCAGGACATTCAAAATCATGGCTCCCGCAGCACCCATAACTTAGCTCCCTGCACATATGTAGCATGTACTGCTGGGTACGAGCTCATATTTATGCCTCGCTCCTTCTCTGCCAGGGGCAGAGTTATGGCTGCTGGGGGAACCATAATTTTGATTTTCCTGACTTTGGTGCACTGAATCTTTAAGAAAGGGAAAAAGCCACCTGTTTGGGTGGTAGCGAATGTCTCTCTCCATTTGCCTTTATTCCCACTTTCTCTTCTTGCCCTCTGCAGACCCCAGTAAAACTATGGATTTGCACACACAAAGAGGGATAGTTGTTAAAAGGATGCAAACTATATCTTCTTTGGAAGAGGCAACATCTTTGCATACAGTCCCAGCCCATACGGGGCCTTGTTAGGGAGGCTGCATTAAAACACTAAAGCTCTAAGTGAGTTTTATTTACAAATGGTGTTTGCAGCCACCTTGTAAAACAAATTCTCCGCCCTGCCTGTATTGCAAGGGCCTTGCAATAACCTCTAAGACAGCCAACCCCGTCTGGAAGATGCTTACAACACCAGTTCAGAGCTCACCGAAATGCAGACATTCTTTATAGGTGGAACAAGCAGTGGCGAAAGCCTGAGCCTCAATTTCAGAGCCATTTCCTGGCACTAGTTGCACTGTGGCTCTGGAGAGGTGAGGAAGGCCTCATTTTCCTTTTCTGTCTGCAGCAGCAGTAGCTGTTAAGGGGCCTTTTTGCTGGAAATACTATTTGGGAGATTGGCACATACTTTCAAAGAAAATTTCTTCTGTTTCTCTACTCGGGGTTATTAAGTAATGCCTGTTGCACGGGCTCAGATGTGGTTACAGTGAAAGGAGCTGTGTCTTCGCCGAAGGCTGCAGGAGCCAACGTGATGCTTCCTGATGACTTGGATAACCTCTGGGTTGAGCCCTGCACCGCTCTGGCTTCCCTGCTGCCTGCCCAGCACTCGCAGGCTCCGTGCTGACAGCCCTCGTGTAACGGCAGCAGACACAACAACGCGTGATTCCAGGCATTCGGTCACAGATAACTGCAAGAAAGAGAGAAATAAGTAGTACTAACGAAGTTAATACGTGGCATCTTGATGTTAGTGGCATTCCGCTGTGATGGTTCGCTTTGTAAAGCCTCTCGTTCTGTTCGGTCATTTATTTATAGGGGGAAGAAAAGAAGAGAAAAGAAAATTAACCTGGATGCTTCTGCTCTCTGCACAGTGATACTTTCCTGTGGAAGCCCTACTGATTAGAAAATGCTTTTGATTTGACTTCCTGGAACATTATGTTATTTTCTACTCCAATACGGGTTTATTTCAGACATATTTCAGAAGCTTTCAATGAACAAAGATGCAAGGAAATATATTACATTTGGGAAAATCATACAAACGGTAAATGCCTTTTCAAAGAAGTTATAATGATATTTCAAGGGCAGTTTAGACCTATTCAAATCGCATACTCTCATTACCATTCTTAGCAAGAGGCATAAGTCCTTCAATCTCTACGTAGTTTTGCTACTCTCTCTCCACAATTTTCAATTTCCTCACAACTATTCATCTGATTTATTATTTCCCTCCTGTATTTTAAATGCATTGTAACCCCATACATTTGTTTCACTCTCTCAGCTTCAATACTCAAGGTCGTTAATACCCCCAGATATCCTTTGCTTATATCACAACTTCAAATGTGCTCTTTCTTGCCCAATGGCTTGTTACATAATTACCACTGCCAATATCATCTTGTTTTTATAGTTTTACGATTAAAGAGATAAAAATGAACTCAGCTGAATAAAATGTAGGAACATACTTGCAATATCTGTGGCAAGGCTGCTGCTGCTGCTCCTACTGCACGGATGATACGGAGAGATGCAAAATTAATCTCTCAGCATGGCTCCTGAAAGTTAACTAAGACAAAATGAATTATGTAGTACTAGCGTTTGGCCCTTCTGATTAAGTGCTGCTTAAACACGCATCGAGTTTTAAATCGATCGCCCTGTACAGGAAGGCAAGGTGCATGCCAGCCAGGAAGGCTCAAGTTTGTCTTCAAAGAGGGAGCATCCTCACCATCCACGTCCCCAGGCACACCTCCTTGGGTCCCCAACCTGCTGCTCTCAGCCTCCACATCCCTCCCAGCATCCCTCCATCTGCCTGAATCACGGACCCTCTACCCAAAACACCCCGAGGAGGAGGGCTGTGGCACACCCAGGGGCACAGAGCCTTCGGGGCAGCTCACTCCATCCACCCTGCATGCACACCAGAGACAACTCCTCTCCCCCCACCACCCCCTGCTCTCACTCCATCTTTTCAGGGCACAGCAGACGTGGGAAGCCCCAGCAGCAATGCCTGGGATGGGTGCACTGGGGTGTGGGGAGGGAGCACGTTTGCTGGACACGGAGGAAGCCAGGCGCTCAGACGCGACAGGAAAGCATCCGCTTTCACTCCTGCTAACCCAAACCCTCCCCTTGAATCACAGCCTTGGCTTACGAACAGGAGGTTTATGTAAACATATAGCTTGCTTTCCATTCAAAGTGCACAATTCCTTCCTCTACTAAAAGCTGTTTTGTTTTTTTTTTTCCATGCAACTCACAGACCCGGAGCCTGCCGTTCCAGACAGCCAGTCCTTAGGGCGGCACTTGCAGGGGACCAAGCAAAAACTCCTTATTTTGTGTCTGGTGCTGAAATCCTCCGTCCTGTCTGTAACCATGCTGGTGTGGGTCCCACAGCTCTGGTGTTTCTCCAGGCAAACCTGGTTGTGGCTGGTGCCCCATGCTCCCAGGGGTGCCCAATGGCACCCATGCAGCAGCCCCTCAGGATCCCCAGCTGCCAGGGAGCCCCGGGCATGTGGGGTAGACTCACTGAAGCAAGCCTCAGTCCTACCTTTGACTCATGAAAACAAACCAGAGGAAAATACCACCCTGTTAGTCACTCCTGGGGAAGCAGACCCGTGCTGGACGTGCTGCCTGGCACAGCCACAGGTGGTGTAGCCACAGCACTCGCAGCCACTGTGCCATCCCGCACATCTCACCCAGACCTCAGCCTTCCCCTGCTGTTTTCCCCTGGGGCAGCTCACAAAAGCCCCAGGGGTGGTTTTATTGCTCAGAGAGACTGCTGCAGCTGAGTCCTGCTGCCCTGCTTGCTAACACACATCCTCCCCAAATGGAGTGGTTTGAAGAGGGGAGTTTCAGTAAACGAGGTGTTAGGAAAAGAAAACGCATCAGTCCCAAATCCTACACGTATCCTCCCTCCGTCACCCCTACAAAACCAAGCAAATTTTGCATAAAATTACTCTTATCAGAGCAAGAGGAGGTACAGCTGCATCCACTCTCCAGGAGTGACCCCTTCAAGCTGCAGCACCATCCTCCCAGACCCACTAATTTAGCATTCCCTAACGAGGGCCACAGCCCCACGGGGCTGACTTGCTTGATGTTATCAGACCATTAAAGCACTCATTAGAGAAGGGCTCCATTTGCTCTTTGGCCTACGGAGCTCGGATGAGTTGCTGAGCAGCCGGCCAGGCTCCTGGAGGAGAATCTTTAAGAAAACAACGTCTGAGGATAAATTTACAGCTACAGCAACCGCATATTAAGTGCGTTTTACCCCAGCTAGTTCCGTGTCACAAGTTGTCAGTACAGATTGGTGGGAAAAGAGCATGAAATATTCATGAAGTTATCAATGGCACCGAGATACCCGGTTAATTATGCTGCTCAGCACCTCCTCGCAGGCTCCCAGTACCCAGCGCCCGGCTTGCTCGTTAGCGTCACCGCGCTCTGATTGCGCCTTTGTGGCAGCGCTTCCTCCGTGCCCCTGCCACACCACCGTGCTCTTGGACCAGCTCCATCCTAATTAGCTTTGCTGCCACTGGAATTAGGCGACATGTTGTAGAAGTCACTTAAATTAACTTCTGACTCTTCCTCAGACAGATGGGGCCTCTGTACCCGTGCCCGCCTGTTCGGTTTGGTTAATCATTCCTTAAAGGGCTGTCGCAAACAGGGCGCGTCAGAAACGTGACCTTGCCTTCAGCTCTGCTGTTTGAAGAGGAATGTGCTTCTTAGAAGGCATCTTCGTTTCTCAAGGCAGCTGGGTTAGGTATTTGGGTCATGGCCCGGAGGTTTCCAGGTAGCAGGGCCCCACTGAGCTACTCACAACCCAGACAGCACCGGTTACAGAGCTCCCCTCCCTCCCGTGATGGTGCCTGCAGGGTGCATGCCAATGGGCATCACCTTCCAAAAGCTGTCTGTGCTGGGCTAGGGGCTGTAGCTGGGAGAAGCTCAGACAGCGCAGGGTGGGGTATTCTGGGGCATGCCAGCCTAGATTTTAGATGGAATAGACTTTAATTTGCATTTTAAAATGTTAAAGTTTCCACAGACTTTATTGTTGTACTTGATGAAGATCTTTTCCAGCCTAAATAGTTCTCTGATTCCATGATTAGCAATGCTGGGAGCAATGCTGCTCTGCCCCACAAAGGGAAGATGCAGCTCCAGTCGTACCCTGTGCTTGTGTGCAGGAGGGCACCCAGATGAGTGAACTAATGCTCATTGAAGGGACTTTTCTGAGATTTTCCCATCTACTAGGCTTCATCTAGAGCTGTGAGCAGACAGTGCACTGAGTCAGCAGAGTTTTCAATTAAAAAAAAAAAAAAGAAGAAAAAAAAAAAAAAAGAAAGTGTAAGAGTTTGCCTTAGTTCCTCCCTGGAGGTTTGCTTTCAAATTTCCCCTTCAGTCAAGCCCAGCTTTCCAAGTTTAGCTGGCTCCATCAGCACGCTTTGTGAGCATGCAGACTATGCAGAGCAAAGAGTTTCCCTACAGCAGGGCTGGCGAAGACTCACCTGAACATGGGTTTGGGGACATTTTGCTCGTTTCTCTCAAGATGTGTTGCAAGACACCAGCAATACTGTGGTTCTTGTCTGACACGATAGCGTCTTACTGGTAGGACTTACTGCAGCATTTGAGAAACTCGCAGCCAACAGCTTCAAAAAGCGCCCCTTTCACCAGTCTCTTGAAACACTTCATCCTACCGAAGGCTTACTTCAGTGCTGACACTGCTGCCAATTTATTTAAATAGCTTTACCTTTGGAAGACAGGCATTATCTGCATGTACCTACAGCCTGCCTGTTGCACGTTATCTTTCTTTATTGCAAGCAAGACACTTCAGCACATGCTTCAGTATCATCTCATGAGTGCATTGCTGTAGCACTTGCTGAATCAGGGTTGCAAAACTGTAAAATCCTCTTGCTGCCATGTGGACAGGACTGGACGTGGCGTGGTGTCCCCTCCAAGGGGAAGGTGCTGTCACTGGGTCATGGTCTTGCTGATTTGGGGCCATCTTCTGAGCACATTGGGTTTCTGGGAGTGGGGGACGGATGCTGCCGAGCCGTGACCGCACTTCTGCAGATTCTGGAATGTGTCTATCAAACCGAAGTGGGTTTGGAGGCCACTCTCCCAGCTCTTGCTCCGTGATTATTTGCGTTAAATATTCCCACAGAAATATTTGTGGTGTGGCATTCATTCCCTAACCCATGCTGAGATCCCCTGTTATTCCTGTAGTGATCCCCATGCGCTGGCCCCCTCACAGTCGCTGCCTGCAGTCCCACGGGTCCCGTCAACTCACTTTTCATGGCTCCAGGGTCACCCTTGCCTTCCCTGGGCAAACTGCCTTCCCTGTAAAGGAAAGAAACAGCTATCCGCCACACAATAGTGCACAAATAAGAACATGATTAAACCATACTGGGTGCTGAGAGGCAAACTACTGCACTATGATGTTCAAAAAGCCAGAATAATGTGATGGTTATAAAGACAGACAGCTCAGGCAAAGATTGCCTAGAGCACAGAATGATTGTCAGGATGGGCAAAAATGTAGAAAATCATGTGAGTGTGTAAGCTGCCAAAGCCAATTAATCCTAAGAACATTTTGCAACCATTAGGCTTCTATTACTGTGCATGCATCATAATTACTAGGGGTCTGCGTGGATATGATGGCAGATCCTTAACGATATCGAGTTTCCATTTGACCTTTAATTATCTTCATTGCATTTGTTTGTGTTGAATCGTTGCAGCATCTAAAGTTTGAAAAATTGACTCATTTTTAATTTGTCATTTCAAGCGGTGCTGCAAAAGATCACCGAGCTCCTCCTGGCAACGAGGGCGAGGAGCCTGGGAGGGCTGCTCGGAGGAGCGGGGATGCTGCGGCGCTGCCCTGCCTCGCGCCACTTTACAGGCAGCTCACGCCGCCAACATCAGAGCCTGAGAAATAGCAGGAACACGGAGATCAAGGAAACTTTCTGCTGATAGAGAGGTGCAGAGAGGCGTTTGTCTCGGCAGCTTGGATTTGAGCATCCTCCTCTGTGGTGGGGCTGGAGAAGCCAGAGCTTGGAAATGCAGGTGAATGCAAACCCTACGGGGAAGGATGGGATCCACCTCGTGTGGCTGGCTTGAACCAGTGGCACTGCAACCCCGAGCCATCAGAAACACTGCCCTGAGATTTCAGCATTGTTGCCTGGGCTTATCTTCTGCTCGATAACAAACAACAGGGGGTTATATCAAAATTAGCTTCACACTTCCTTTAGCAACGCATCCTACCCCCAAAAAAGCTCTTTTATCAAAGAATGTGAAAAGATGATGCTTCTCAGATTGCTGTGCTGCTGCCCTGATAATGTGACAGATATTTGCACTTCTACAGAAATTAAATGGGGGCCATTTTTAAAATCTGGTGTTTTTTTTTTTATATCTTCTATCCATTTGGTTATAATTATTGCAAAATCTTGATAGTAGGAAACAGAGATGACAGGGTGAGAGAGCTAAATAGGCTTTGGTTTATCCAAAAAAATTAAGATAGAAAGCCCACTGACTTGCCATTAACTGAAATATATTAAACTTCTGAAACTGAGCCCCAGGTCTGTGAGCAGCCCACCAGACCTTCACCTCCATGGAGCTGACATCCCTTCCACACAGTGGGTTGCTTGCAGAGTGTCTGCCTAGTTAGGGATCTCGGTTTAGTTCCTGTCCAAGGAACACCTGACCTGCAGTCTCTGCCATCACAGTTTACCTTCCTGAAACTCCTTTCAGCCTAAAACTCTTTTGCTCTCAGCTTCCCCGTACCTGCTGGCTTCTGGGAGCCCGGTGCAGACTCTCGGTTCTCACCCTTTAACACTCACCCTCCGGGGCTGTTTCCTTACAGCTCTGCGCTTCCCGACAGACCAGGTGCTGTCAGCGCTTCCAGCCGCAGCCTTCCCGCTCTGCCTGGCACAGACACCCTGCGGGCAAGCTAAAACCACAGAGATTTGGGCCAGTTCAGGTGCTCGACACATCACCGCTCTCCCTGCCCTGTGGCGTGGCAGGGATTAAGCCAAAATCAGACCATTATGGTTAGGCAACGCTTGCTAAGCCCAGCACACGATTCCCAGCAGAGTGGCCAGACCTTTGTGCTCCTCCTGGCCTCCATCTCCCCAGTTTCTTTGCCACCAGTCACCAAGCAGGTGTTTGGCATAGGGTAATGATAGCCCATAGGTGGGATTGGAAACCTTGCTTTCTGTTCCCATAATGTTTATCCTCCTGCTGTTGTCCCCTCAGCCCCAGGGAAGTCAAGCAGAGGACAGACTCTGGGCAATGGGCCTTCAGTTTTAAGTAGAGGATCTGCCCCTCTCTTCACCATCCTCCCAGATTTTTGCTCTTCCAAACCTAGCTGTGACAGCCAGCCTGAAAAAAAAAAAAGCCAGTCCTTTAGAAAAGTTCCACTGGACCAAAAGGATAGACTAAAGAGAGCTCTTGTTTTCATGATTAAAATAAATAAATAAATAGAAATAAAAAAATAAATAATTCAACATACATCAGAACTGCAGCACCTCTGGCAGAAGAGGTCATCTCAGAGCATTCGCTTAGTCTCGCCTTTTTGAGGTCTCAAAGCAATTAAACAGATGGATTTCTTCAGACAAGCCATTACCTGCTAATCTTCTTTCTTTTTTGGGGGAACTGGTTGTGAACCGTGAGTTACACTTTGTTTTGTTTCCTTACCCAGATGTTATTTTAAGTGTCTGAGTTCTATAATTGCACAGCGCTCTGGGCAACTGAGACAGAGAAGCAGCATATAAATAAGGCTGCCTCGCCTCCCTGCTAGCGTTTACCCAGTCCCATTTGCTTTACGAGACGAGCAAAAAAGAAAGAGGCGAAGCAGGCTGTGCGTGGCGGGCAGGAAGGCAGAGCCCGCGGGCTTCAGGGAGTGCTGGGACGGGCAAGGACACCTCTTCCAGGAAGGAGATAAACAGCAAAATAACCTTTTTTGCAGGTCAGAGCACATTGCGAGTTTTTTACTGTTGCTGGTTGTCTTTTTTTTTTTTTTTAAATAATAATAATTTAAAAAAACTTCTGAAGGAGTCCAAAGAGCAGGACGCTGCTTTTCTGCTGCATTTGCACATGGGCAGATGAGGCTTTTCAACATGATAGTCAAGCAAGCAGCTCCACGGGCAGCATTTAGCATTTCATTTCAACATGCCTGCACTGCTTAGGAGCAGGAGAGCCTTGTGCCTGACCAACCTCAGGGCGCTGTTCCCTGCCCCTCTTGCAGGCCAGCCCTGACCCCAAACCCTGCAAGCAAAGCACCCCCGAGCTGCTCCTCTCCATCTCTGCCACTCCAAGCTTCTCTTTTCCTTTCCCGTTTCTCTCTAAAACACACCAAAATGTTACAGGCAGTATTGAGCCCTCCAGGGCTCATTGCTGACCACCACGGTGTGGGTACTTACAGCCCATTTCCTCAGCCATACAGCTTGCACTGAAGATCAACAACTGCAATGCCTCCTACTAACTGATAGAAACAATTACTTTAGGTGAAGACTTGCAGGTATTTAAACACGAGAAAAGTGCTTTGGAAGCCTGACTAAAACAAGTGGGACAAAATCCAAATATAATTTTGTCCCTAGCCTTAGCACTGGTCATAAAACACGGCTGGTTGTCCTGTTATTAATTATTATTACAACTCCTTTCACAGCATCACGGAGGCAGAGCACAAAAATCTTTGTTACAAGTTGAATGTTGGCTCTGGCTGAGCAGAAAGCAGGTGAGCACTCATGGGAGCACCTTTTGAAGCTATTAGTTATTTAAGCAATTTGTAGGAAGAATAGGGAGCTGTGCTGGGAAGGAGAGGTAGCTCCGAGCTCCTCGCCATGGAGAGAGCTTTCCTGGTTTGTCTACATCAAAGGCTCGTAGCATCACCGCCCACTCATTTGATCTTAATTCAGCTCAAAAAAAGCTCCGCTTCATGCATTTCTAGGTATGACTTAGACATGGAGCATGACGCAACGGTGCTTTGATGAACAAGGAAACATAGACTGGGTATCGTGTGTGCCAGGACGATTTGGGCTGCTTTTGGGAAGAGGTGAACACAGCCACGCACGCACACGCACGCAGCTATAAATAACGCACGAGCTGCTCGCGGGGGAACAGGAGCCGAAAGCCCTGTTGATACAATTCATTGTCCCAGTTCATCTCTGTAATTTTATCACCCTAAAAATATCCGTGCAGCCAGCATTCTTTATGCAAACTATGATAATTTCGAGCACAACACAGCGTGCCGGCAGGCTCTGAGACAGAAGCACGGGGACGAAGCCGGGCTCGCCTCTCGCTGCTGGGCCAGTGGTGGCACCAGCGGGGACAGGAGCTGGGTCTGGTACCTGCCTGCTCCCCACTACCCCTGAGCAGCTCCAGCTTTCCAAGGAGAGGCTCCCAAAAGGCTCCCACAGCACAAAAGCACTGATAGCTCCAAATAGATGTCTGGCACTGGGCTTCGTGTGCTGTCTAGGTGGGCTGGAGCTGTGGCATTCAACATATGCCACGTCCTGGGGCCAAGCTTGGGTGAGACCAGCTCCTTACATCCATCCCTGTCCTGGGCAGCACTTATTCCCTGCCCTGCTATCGCTGCACGTCCACTTCCAAAGCCAAAGGCAGCTGGGCTGTGTCAAATCCTTTCTGGGCGATCAGCTCCTAACGCTGTGTGTAACTCGCTGGCTTATTGAAGATGTGCTGCCAGGCCCTGTAACACAAATCAGTTCTGAAAGAAAAATTATCCTACGGTGTCAACAACACAGAGCTCCAGATAGGCCAGGAGAAAACAAGCTGCGAGGCATTTTGCTCAGATGAGGAAGTGAAAAGGCTCTTTGCCTGCGTTTTACTTTGCACAGATGGAAAAGGAGCACATGGGCACTCTGACACTCATCACCTTTAATAGCTGTCCCAGGGCTAAATCCTCACTCATCATGCTGGAAATGTAGGGGCGAGCCTGCAACTCATAGCCTTCAATAATAGAAGCAGCCATTTATAGAGAGATGTGAAATATTTAGACTGAAAGTGTTTCATTTCACTTAATTTAAAATCACTTAACACCTGGAAAACTTCTATAAATGAAATCACTGGAGATTCGGTTTCCTACTCTGTCCAAACGTACCCGGAAAAGAAATGTGTCCATTTTCTGTGCAACAAATGCTCAATTGCAGATTTTCTGGATAATAAAATCTCCAGCCTAGCTATTTAATTATTCAGCTGACTGCTGGAGGAATATGAAGCTACGGAAATCTAAAGCCATGTGCCGGGAACTCTGGAGTAAGTTATAGCAAACGTTTGCTTTAAAAAGACACCAAATAAGCTATTTAGAAGCTTATACTTATGAGATAATG